TAATAAAGGTTCTGCAAATGTTCAGGTAGTAAAAAATAACCTGATCCATAAAATCAGTCAGAACATGGAGGGGTCAGGAGGGGCTGCAGAGGTGGATGTGGTCCTGTGTGCCCTCCTGAGTCAGAAAGGGATGACAAATCAGATCCGGAGCCAGTCTTTGCAGAACCTTGTGGTGTCTGATCTGACTGGATTATGACGCATCAGACATCATTGTTCTGCTTTAAAATCCGCACATCTTTTTAAACGAAGCACAGATCTGGTGCCATTTAAAATGATTTAAGTGTTKGGTGTTTTGTGTGGGTTCTGAATGGAACAGATGGGGTTGAAGTTGTACAGAATCAGAACCAGAACAAGCCCAGACAGTGTGACTTATGTTACTGGCTTAGAAGGTTTTTTTGTTTTTAAATAAATAAAACAAAAGAACGGACGTGAACCCTTGTCCGATTAAGGACGCACTGGTGTTGCGACAGAACAAAACAAAACAAAAACTCCGGGGGGTCCCCACATTTCATCAGGACCCTCACGTCAAACACAGAGGGGACTAAAACTGCTTTAATGAGAGCAGAAAAGTGGTTTAACTCACCTCTACAAAGAAAGAGTCCATCTTTAAGTGTCCTCTCTTTGTATCTTGTCTCTTCAGGGTCCCACAGCTGAGAGAAACAAGCGGCGCTCCAGAATAAGTCCCATCTGTTTCTGATTGGATATAAAAGTTTGTTTTTGTTGAATCACTTTCCTCACAGGTTCCTCCGAGTCATTCTGCAGCCCTTCAGTCCCGGACACCTTTTTTTTTCTTTTGGGGATCAGTTGTGTCCGGTTCTGGTTCTGCTGTCTGCCGGTTTCAATGAGCCCGGCACATTATGCAGAGAGGAGGGGCTTGCAGGCTGCAGACCTCCCCCTTAGCATCCGCCCTCTTTGTCTCAGATCCGCTAAAGATCCTGCACCGTGGACAGGATGGACGCATTCAGTTCTGCTCATCACACCCAGGCTTTATATATTCAGGGATAGGAAAACGTTTCCCTGTGAGAAAATCAACTCCCGTTTGATGCAAGAGGATGAGTAGATATGGAGTCAAATTTGTGCCAAAAAAACATAATAATAATGACTAGACATGGGTTTTTACGATGTAAAAACAAGTGTGCATTGCCATGTAGCGTATAATTGCAGCATGGCTTTGCAGAATGAACTGTGACCAAGTACAAATGTGTTTTCTACACCAGCTTGTGCTTGTCAAGTCAGCAGGTGTTTGTAATAAGGGTAATTGTGTAAAAATATGAAGTTTGTAGAGCTTTTCTGTTAAAGTTGCTTTAGCTGGGTTTTGAACCCTGTTCTCCCACCTGAAAGTCCATGACATTGAGGATTAGACTGTTGGAGCTGTGGCCAAGGGTGGTGCCAGGGGTTGGTTTGTATGTGTGCAGAAAGAGGCCACATTGCCAATACAATTATTGACACTAAACTGCATAATATTACAACAATAGAGCAGTATTAAGACAACATTATAGCAAAACATCAAAAATACAATCATATTAGTATTGTAACCATTGGACTATTGAGATCAAATATTATTAAACTATGGTTCAGTACTGAGTAGATACAGCAGGGGGCAGTATTGGACCAATACAAGGCTGTATTGACTCGCATTATAAATTATTAAACATTAATATTTCAAAAAACTATAAGTTGTACAGGCGCCAAAAGGCATAGCCATCATTTGGCACAGGAGCTTTACAGATATAAATTAGAATGGCAGCTCTAGGACAAAGTATGCAGGAGGAGAAGCATGCCAAAGTGGAGGTAACTTGGATGGGAAACGAATCACAATAGTGTGCATTGCATTGGCAAAGCACACTGATAATAATAATAATAATAATAATAATAAAAGTCTGATGGAAATTAAACCACAATAAAAACCCATTTGGTTATGGTTATGTATCATATTCAGGATTAACCATAAATAAATAAATTTCCTATCTTAACTAAATATTACTACTTCCTTTGACAATACCGTCAATATGACAATAATAAAACAAATCTGAAATTTCTTTTCTTCTTTTTTTTTAATCAGACGTTTTGTGCCATCAATTTCAAGTGACCACAATAAGTTTAATTGTCCAATTTTAATCAATTTTATTTTAAAAAAAAGGACAGGCAAAATGTCTAATTTAAGCATGCAGGTTTGTGCTGCTTAAAGTTTAAATATTTTTATATAAATTATGTTAAACTGCACAAGAGCACATATTTTTTGTAATAAAATATGCCGCTTATCTAATTCTTAATTGAAAATGTCTGCTTGTTCAAAGATCTGTGGAACTATGATTATAGACAAACTACATGSATTAAAAACAGTGTCCTATGGTGTCCCCTGCCCCCCACAGATTGACCTCTGGCAAAGTCATTCAGGTCAAGTTAAATAATGTTTTACTTTTTAATTTTTTTATTTGTTTTGTTAATTTTTGCAGCCTTATATGAAATAATAAAAATTCTGGCTTTAGCACTTGTGATGCAGAACCACTGACTTGTGATTAATATCTCTAAAACTTCAACCACATCATAATATCTGTCTGCTCGGTGCAGTCTGGTTACATAAAGCCCCCTCGTCTCATCTGTCTGTGCTGCTGCCCGAACAATGGAAGCTATTGATCCAGACTGAGTTATATCATCAAAACTGCAGCTGTTTGTTATCAGTTATGGTTCAGATCAGCCTCAGCTCACTTAAATTCAGCCACATTTAACAATAAATGTTTATATTACAAACAACATAACTGGTGTATGACCAAACGAAATATTACCCTGATAAATATTGATTAATGTGACACAGGATAACATAAAAGTATCTTTCTCAATTAGGATAACGCTTAAGTGGCACATATTGTAAATATTCGCGAGAGCAATGATGTCACAGATCTTACAGGATGAATCTAACTAATCAAATCTCCTCGGTGGGGTCTGCAGGGTCAAGGGTGTTGGTGACTTAGACTACTAGAGGTGCCCCTGGGAAATAAAACAAACAGGAGGAGGTGGAGAAGAGGTTAAAGCTAAGTGAATCTGGCTTAATTCTGTTAAGATGGATGACAATAAGAGCTGGCACACTGAAGTAAAAATGGAACATCTAACAATACCATAAAACCCAAGTGATTCAATCGTTACTCCGTCCCTCCTGCAGGCTGCAGCRCATTAAGGTGTAAATGTGGCCGATGACAAATATTGATGCAGCATTTATTAAATTACGTGGAACATCACAGAGCTGATACATCTCCGAATGAAGGCATTACTCACACCTTTATCTAGAATCTTTGTTCCTGTTATGAAAACAGGTGGGATAGAATGAAGGGACATAAATATTCGGTGCGATAACGATTAGATGAATTGATTTTTGTTATAATATCCTGCTTTTGTCTTTTTCTGTTTGACCTTATGAGGATGCACATAAATGCAACACACCCTCCAACCTATGCTGCCTTAAGGGTTGTTTGAATTTATTATTCTTTTGGTGTATCATCTGAATTGTTGCAGTCCTCAACCACTGCAAGAGCAGGACAGTGGGCGACAGTGGGGAGAAAAAAAACTCCTTTTTAACAGGAGCTAGTACTTCGCAGAAGTACAAGCAGAAGCAAGCAAAGAGTTAAGATCAGTGGTGGTGTATGCCATATGATCACTCTAAACTATATTGGATTTGTGTATAATCACTTAAAGCTGTTCTATTCCACTATTCTATTAAAATAAGCAGAGAAACGTATAAATCCACAGCTTACGGCATTGCCGGCAGTAAGTCGGGCTCGTTTCTGGTGAGAGTTGGACTCCGCCAAGGCTGCCCTTTGTCACCGATTCTGTTCATTACTTTCATGGACAGAATTTCTAGGCGCAGCCGAGGTGTTGAGGGGATCCGTTTTGGTGGCCTTAGGATCGCATCTCTACTTTTTGCAGATGATGTGGTCCTGTTGGCTTCATCGGAACGAGATCTGCAGCTCTCGCTAGAGCGGTTCGCGGCCGAGTGCGAAGCGGCCGGGATGAGGATCAGTGCCTCCAAATCCGAGGCCATGGTCTTGAGCCGGAAAAGGGTAGAGTGCCTTCTCCGGGTCAGGGGGGTCGTCCTGCCTCAAGTGGAGGAATTTAAGTATCTGGGGATCTTGTTCACGAATGGGGGAAGAAGGGAGCGGGAGATCAACAGGCGGATTGGCGCAGCATCTGCTGTAAAGCGGGTGCTGCATCGGTCCGTCGTGGTGAAGAGAGAGCTGAGTCAAAAAGCGAAGCTCTCGATTTACCAGTCGATCTACGTTCCTACCCTCATCTATGGTCATGAGCTTTGGGTCATGACCGAAAGAACGAGGTCCCGGATACAAGCGGCCGAAATGAGTTTCCTCCGCAGGGTGGCTGGGCTCTCCCTTAGAGATAGGGTGAGAAGCTCAGTCATCCGGGAGGGACTCAGAATAGAGCCGCTGCTCCTCCACGTCGAGAGGAGCCAGCTGAGGTGGCTCGGGCATCTGGTAAGGATGCCTCCTGGACGCCTCCCTGGTGAGGTGTTCCGGGCACATCCCACCAGGAGGAGGCCCCGAGGAAGACCCAGGACACGCTGGAGGGRCTATGTCTCTCGGCTGGCCTGGGAACGCCTTGGAGTTCCCCCGGAGGAGCTGGAAGAAGTGGCTGGGGAGAGGGAGGTCTGGGCCTCCCTTCTGAAGCTGCTGCCCCCGCGACCCGACCCCGGATAGGCGGAAGAAAATGGATGGATGGATGGATGGATAATCGTTTAAAGCTGTTCTATTCCACTATTCTATTAAAATAAGCAGAGATACGTATAAATCCACAGCTTACGTCAGCGCATATTCTCAAAAAAGCAGTGTTGTACAGTGTTGCCAGGTGTACGATAATTATCGTATTTGTTCCATAATTTTGCCCTCTGTACGATGTRCGATCAATAATCCCAAAAATCCCATAATGTACGATAATTTGACCGCTCCAATGTGTGACGTAATTGACCCGACACGCTGCTCGCTGACATGAGAGGTGGCGGGTTGTGGAACACAGCGGTGCTGATTTAGCGACTTCCTCGCTATATTTACAGACTTTTCAGACCCTCTAGATACTGTTATGCAGAAAAGTGACTAGTGAAAATCTAGCGACTCTTTTTCTGGTGTTATTGAGACTTTGAGAGACTCTGCCGTGAACGCATTTCTCCATTGYGCTGCTGAGAGCTGAGATCTGCCTACCTGTCGKTCCCGACGTCATGTCACCTGAATGTTGAAGCAAAGCTCTGGCCGATCCCAGCAGAGATTCAGACCTCCTCAATTATTTACTGGCCCCCAGCCTTGCCCCAAGGCTGGACAACTTTTTAAAGCTGCTTTGTCTAGAAGTCACTGCATGTTGTATTAATAAGGGAAAAAAAGGGGAAGTGGATGGTGGTGGTGGGAGCTGGATGAGCAGTGATCATAAAAATTCACAGTCTGAACCGTGCCTCTCCAGRAGAAATAATCAGGGAATTCTTGTTTTGACTTTTGATCAAGGTTCCACCAATTCAAAATCTGGGTTTCCTCAGGTTTAACCTTGCAAAAACAAACTACGCTGCTGGATTTTAATGGATGTTTTGTCCTTTTCCATTAAATCTGTGATAGTTTATAACCAAAGTGGCAACTCTTTTTACTTTTTTTTGGCTTAAAGTCACTTTGTGTAACATTTGAAAAGTCCCAGAGGGTCTAAACTCAGATTCTACACCACAAATACTGACCAAAACATATCATTACAGTGTGATTGGTTTGAAAAAAGAAAAAAAAGAGGAAACATGATCTTTCATTTCATTTCTAATTAATGTGGTCTAATTGGTTTGTTCMTCCTGATCAGAGCTCATTACTCT